CATGATATCAGCAGCAGAGATGCTAGGAAACTGCTGTTGGTTTGTGGCTGACATTCAAGTCTGACATCCCAGCAGTTCTCAGAACAGCTGCAGATAGCCACTGAGAGCATAAGAGAAGTGGAGAAAGGTCTATACTCACACAGGGCACAAGACACAGGTGGTCTGAAAGAGCTGTGGATGCCCCATACCTGGGAGCACTCAGACTGCATGGGGCTTTGGGCAGCCAGGTCTGCTGGGTTGGAGTAGGTAAGCTTGGAAGATCCCTTCTAACCCAAAACATTCTGTCACTGCAACCTGCACCTGAGCTCTTGAGTGATTCGTTTGGTTTTCTTTTGGAGTTGTTGCGTTTTGTTTATTTGTGTGGGGTTTATTTATATATTTCTAAGGGAAACACCCTCATAGCTGTGATCCATCTCAGTACAGTGAAAGCAAAGCTTTATAGTAGGTCAGAGAGACGCGACTGGAAGCCTCAGTACAGGGCAGTGAGGATGCACGTGTAAAGGAGCAGCCAACCGAGAACAGATAGCCAGCTCGCCCTGCGTTCCCCTGCCTTCGGGAGGGATACAGCGGCTCCCCGACTGCAGCCGGCCTCTCAGCCTCACCGCAGAGCTCAGCTTAGAACACACAGCCGCACCGCGGGGGCTCACAGGAACCGCGGCCTCATCCCTCCGCCTGGCAGCGCTCCGCAGTAGCTCGGCGTAGAACGGGGCGCCCAGCCCAGCAGCACCGCACCCGACCCACCTGCTCTCCGCCGGAGCTCCGCAGCGCGTCCCAGCTCAGCACCAGCACGGCGGGCTGCGGCTCTGTGCCACCAGCCTCTGCGCCTGGGGATAGGGAACAGGAGGCGAACGGCTCAGCGCCAAGAGAGAGAACGAGAAGCTGGGAGGAGGGGAGCAGGAGGAGATGGATACCCTGCCGTCCCAAGCCCCTTGCCATGCGAAGCCCATCCTCCCCGCGGCTCACGCAGCAGAACGCACTCATGCCCCCTGCCCGCCGGTGCCCATCCCGATATCCCCGCACTCACTGCGCGGCAGCAGCAGCGTGAGGGCGATGCCGCAGAGCAGCCCCCAGCCCCGCATGGCTCCAGGCTTGCCTCGGCTCGTCACAGCACCCCTCATATATAGAAGCTCCCGGCCCGGCTTTCTCCTCCCACCCGCAACACGCCCTACAGCTCCTGCCTGTTTCTTCCTCCCTCCACTCTAGCCCCGGGTGCTCGGTGGGAGCTTGGGCTGCTTTCGTGCAAAGACTCTCCTGTCCCTTCCTCTTTCCCTCCTTTGTCAGCACAGAAAGCCTTCGCAAAGGCAGCAAGAAGGGAGGACGTGCTGGAAGGAAGAAGGCGCATTGCCTTCAAGCAGCTTCCAAAGGAGCTGTGCTATGATATTATTTCTTTATTACATAACCCAACCAAACTCTTCATGGCTGAACCCACGCTGCCAAAGGCATCCTAAATCCCTTATCTCTCTGGAAATTCATTGTCAGTGGGCAGCGGAGGGGATAGGCTGTGATTTATGATGGTTTTGCAGAAGCAAAATCAGATTCACTGCTCCTCTCTCCTTAAGGCAGACAAAGGGGCTGGAAAGAGCACACACAGTGCATGGTCCCTGCTCGTTCTATGAAGCTCCCTTCTGCAGCCTTCAGGGCTGACCCACGGGCTGACTCCCTGCTCCATCCCTTTGCCATTGCTGGGCAGCATTGACCCAGGCTCAGTGACAGTGGCACAGGGATATCGGTGAGAAAGGTGCTGGCAGCCTGGCAGAGCATGAGCTGGTTAACAGCACAGCCACTGTCATCTCAAGGTGCAGTTACACCAATAAGGCTGTGAGGGATGATTGCATTTTTTGTGGGCTTGGCTCTGAACAGCAAGAAAAGGCATTGCCTGTTGGTCATACACATCAGCCATTGGTCTGCATTATCCACAATGCCCTTTCCATTCATCTCTGTACTTAATGTGTCTGTGTCAGTGAACCACCAGGAAGGAAAACCAGTGTAACGAACAGGGAGAACCTGCACCTGGCTACATTGCAGAGTAAACCGGTAAAAAAGGCCAATAGGAAATGAATAATGCATTTAAAATTAAAAAATAATAGTAATGATTTTGCCTCTGGTCCAGTGGTTATATATACTACTGAAATCATTGGTCTTTTTTCAACTGAAGATCTTTGCTGACTCCTATCACTGTGCCCACAGGAAATGCCATGCCATAAAAGGCATTATACCTCACCCACAAACAGGTCACAAATGTCCTTTGCACAAATAATTCACAGTTTCTCAGGGTGGAAATCCAGGGACCAAATCAGCTCTTTGAAGCCCCTCGAGTAACCTGAAGGGAAACCCAGAGCTTTCTGTGAACTCTCCTATTAATTTGTAGCTGCCTGTAATAGAGAAGAAAACAATGGCACTATTGCCGATCAATATTTTTATTACAAAGAAGTAAAAATGTAACCCAAATTTAGACAGCTGTTCTGCTTTCATCCCTGCACGACATTTCTGTCTACCCAGAGAAAAATAATATTTGATGAGGAATACCTAGACTTGCACTGAAGGATTGTCACAGATCTTCCCAGTATGACAATTTTTCACAGGGCTGCTCCACCTATTTCTCAAAAAAGCATAAAATGAAATAAAAGGAATGTATTTTAAAATTGCTGCAATAGTTGGACCAATAACTGCTGCTTAGCTGCTTGTGGTTTTGGTTATAATTCAAGTGTCACAAAAATAAAGTATATGCAGCATTTGCATTTGCTGTATAGTGATATTTTTATCTTTGGATTTAGTAATATGAGAATTGATATCTTAATTTATAATCAGCAGTAAGTCCCTCTATAAAAATATAACCACATACTGTGCTATCATTATAAATAGTTTAATCTATATTTATATGATATATCACTTACACTGCTCAGGCATTGTTGCATGGAAAGCTGCAGGGTATCCCAGCCCTATTAGCTGTGCTCAATGCTGTAATGCTACCTTCCTCTGGCACAGCATGACTCAGATCCTGCCCTGGACCCACTTCTTCGAAAAGTTCTTAATGGGATGTTTGCTTGATTCACAGAGCAAGATCAAGCTTTCTGTTATCTGGAAATTACACAGACTCATTTCCCCCACAGACCCAATTGCCTGGTTAGAAGTATCAGCTGGGAATGTAGTAGTCTGTTCTCTGGTGCCTTATCTGTCTGTGACATCTCCTGTGACCAAGGCAAGGATATACCTATTAGCAGCAGCTCCTATGCAGCACACAGGGTGAGGGGTGCAGTCATTCTGTAGGTTTGGAAATTAGGTGTTTCCATTTCCCCCAGTCAGAGCTGCTGAGCACGCTTTTACAGCGGGGTTTCTGCACTAGCTCTGCACTCTGCAAGGTGGTTTAACTCTTTAAGTTGGCTGCAGGGCAAAAGGTGATGGTTCTCCCATTCCATTTGTTGTAATTTAGAAATATACTAAGAGTTAAGCTCATAGAAAGATAGATTCAGAGATGAGAGAAGCCTGTTAGGAAAACAGACTTACACAGGGAATGATCTGGGTGTGTATCAAACTGAGAGCTCTGCAGAATTTCATTTGAACTCTCTGTTCAGAAATAAGGAAGGCTGATGATGAACCGCCATTGAAAGCCTCTTGAAAATTGGAGAAAGTGTTACCAAAAAATCTTAGTAAGTGACTGTGGATACCATTTTGTCCTGTGTAACCTCAGCATTTCTGATGCGCCAGTGGTAAACATCTTGGCTAACTTGAGTGGCATGTGAAATCTTCCTTTTTTCAGAACATTTTTCCTCTTTCAGATCACTTGAAATGATCAAAGGAGGAAGGCTGTGAATCGGTGAAGGGAACTGGTGATGTAACTTCATTATTTCAGGTCTTAAGAGTTGAGAACTGCTTTGGCTGAGCAAGGATCTTCTGATTAGCTTTGTTTTTCCACTATCTGAGCAGGATAGCAGGAATACTTGGGAGAGCCTTAGAGCAGCTGCCCTGCCAAAGAGGGAGAAGCACTGTAAGATGATCAGGTACCACACAAGGGCTTGTTCCAATGTGCTGTTACTGAAATACTATCAAAGTGCTCCTTTCTTTTTTTTCTTTTTTTTTTTTAAGGGTGGGCCACTGCTGCTAATTTTGCTTAATTCCTACAAAGAAGTGAATAGATCAGTATGTGGCTGTATATGCTGACATGTTGCATCCTTTTGACTATATTTGTATATTTAAAGCGCTGCAGTTTTCTCCACACTGACTACAAACTTCTCCAATAGTATTTGTACCAAAGTAGCTAATACTTATAAGAAGTGGAACGGGTTTAATGACATAAGGGCTTCTAATGACCCCAGCCCATAAAAATGTCCAATAACTCTGGAGAAGAAAGTAATCTCTGCAAAAGTGTAACCACAGGCAGTAACCACAATGAAAAGCACACTACTAAAGTTGTTAGGTATTCCAGCAGCAAGAGGAAAACAAACTTCAGAATCATAGACTAGTTTAGGTTGGAAGGGACCTTTAACACCATCTATTTCCAATCCCCTGCTATAGACAGGGATACCTCCCACTAGACCAGGTTGCTCACAGCCCCATATATCTTTAGAATATCTTCATCTGATATTTTTCAAACTGTGAAGCACACAAGGTGATTTTTAGTTTGGATTAAGGTAAATAGCTCTCTCTGCTCTTTCTGTCTCTCTGCAGACACAGATCCTGTATGTCTGATACAGCTCTAACAGTAAGGGTAGGAAAAATCAGCCTTACATTTTGTTTCCAATTAAGAAATTCAGGATATATTAAGCTTCAGTCTTCTCTTCTTATGGTCTTTGTGGTATTAAACAGAGGAGATTTTCATTGAGGGTATGATACTGTGTTTTCCTAAATGAACGAGGTCTCATTAGCAGGTGGACCCAGCACAGCAGATGCTGAATCCCTCACCTCACTGAAGCTCACACACAGTTCTGGCTTCATAGTAGAACCCAGGATACAACCGACACTGAAATCAGTTCGATGTTCATGTTAAAATGAAAAACTAGGGGAACATTACTCAGGTGAGTTTATTCAAATGTAACAATAGAAAGATAACAGAATTCCTGGACAGAAATGACCTCCTTTTTGCAATACAGAAACATAAACGTTTGAAACATTATTTACATATTTGGGCCAAAACTTTTTGAATTTCCTCACTCTGAGTTCAGCAGACAGCCTCTCTATAAAAGCCTTTGATATTCCTCAGAAAATTTGGAATTCTCTGGAGAATTCTTTAGAGTAATAACTACACTCAGAGATCAAATCACAGTCCACTAATGTAAGTCTCAGAACTAGATCCCATCCACCTTCCTCTCTCTAGGTTCTACCACACATCAACCTACCTTCTGGGCAATCCGTTTTTATTAATGGAACTGGTTACAGACTAAGATATTACTCAAACTGATCTATATTATCAGTGTATTATATAACATTTGTACTACAAACACAGAGTACAGTAAAAATTAACCAAATTAAACTTAAAACTGTCTCATGAAAATAACAATAAAAAGCACTGCAGAATCATTCTTGGCTTCACTTTCTGGGCTTCAGAGTATTTTACTGCAGCCAGAATTATTGCTAAAATTCCTAAAGTAACACCTAAAAAAATATGGAAAATACCATTAGAACATCTGTAAACAATAAAAGGCAGTATTCTAATTCAGAGGAGCAATAAAAGGATGTGCCTAAATATATCTCTCCTCAGGAAAATACATGCCAAATGTTTGAAGTTGAGTGTAAGTGCTTTCCTAAGCCACAGTCCAAGCAATGCCCTGATGAACCAGGTGAAACTTCAGAAAGCTTTTAGACATTCCCAAACCTGTACGTGACCTCTCAAAATATAAACAGTTCATCAGAGTCCTCAAACTGACATGCACAGGTTGCTCAGGCTACACGGGTTTCCCATTGAACACATTTCTCTGAAGACAGTAGCGACGAAAATGTTTATTTCCTCTTCTATAACAATTTCTTGGATTATCAATTGGTTTAAAGATTACAGCTCTTGCAACACCTTTTTTTCTTCTTCGTCCTCACTGTCAGTCACATTGACTAGCTGGATGCTGGAAGGAGAAGGCGGGGTGGCTGGCAAATCATTCTCAAGTGCTCCAGTGTCTAGCTGTGATATGGGGCTTATACAACCCTCCTCACTGTGGCTGCTGTGAGAGGTCACTTCTTCGAGATGTGTGCAGACACGTGAGTCTTCACGTATGCTTCCCCCTGGGTGTCCCCTGAAAGAGTAATCTCTGTCCAGAGGTGAAAACTTCATCTCCTGCTTTTGGTAGCCATCTCCATAGAAGCCAAGGCATTCAGGCACTGAGCTGGAGAAATTCCCACAGCCAAAAGGGGGACGGCTGAATGGGCATGTGCTGCAATGAAAGAGATTGAAAGTCGTCCTTCAGATAGCCTAGACTTCCATCCAATTAAGAGAATCAGAATGTTAGTCTAAGTTAGTTTAGATGAAACCATCAAAGTACACATACTTTAGAACCATATCTAATCTTAACACTGGTTTCGTAAGAAGAGTCATACACAGACTCTGTATTAGCAAGGATTGCATATGCATCCCTTCATAGTAAACACAGACATGACATTACTTTAAAAACAACCAAAACCCCATTGTTTTAAAGTATTAATTAATGTCATGGATAAAACAGAATCAAATAAGCCTGCAGTATATTAATGTACATACTGAGAACAATATAAAAAAGTATAAGAAATACTCACAGGGTATTACATGTGTTAGTTTGTAAATACTTTGATTAGATGATCTTCTCTGATTTACTACCCAGAGGCTGCAAAGGATAAACTAGTAATTACTAGTGATGTAATAATTCTGAAGACATTTCCCACAGGACCAGATTTCAGAAATATTGGTAGTTATGACAGCTACAATCATATAAGTAGCTGGGAGACATCTCACACACCTACTTAATTGCATCTGATCATTTTGGAAATATATTTACCTAATACTTTTCCACAGAGATCAGATGTAGTGCATCTAACTGCACTTAGGAGCACAAAGTAGAGAGAAGATACTTCTATTCACTGTGGGCTTGGGAGTATCAATTACTAAAATCATACCATGGAGCCTTCAATAACTATGCATATATTACAAGCAGCCTCAGGAAAGCAGGTCCCAGCACACAGAAGCCATGGGAAGAGAAGAGCACCCTTCCTTTCTGGCACTGTGTTCTTGTCTCAAGAAGTGAATGCTCCATCTGCTTTCTGAAAGTTAAAGCCTTTTAACACTTAATCTAAATGGTATTGAAATGAAGGGTTGCATTACCTTGAGGGGAAATAGTGAGGTCCAGGAACAAAGTAGGGGTGATAAAATGAAAACTGAGGAGGCACTCCATACAGACTGGCCGCCTGCCCAATGGGAGGACTCTCACAGAGATGCGAATGAGGAAGAGGTGTAACTTGGGGAAGAAGTACACCTCTAGGACAAGGAGAAATCCCTGAGTACTCCTTTGGGAACTCACTATTAGGGACAGAAAATCTGTCATTACTGTTTGTTGAGGTACTTGAACATCTACTGGAGAGATCAACAACAATTGGTGTTGATCTCTTCAGAAAGCAATAGGATCCAGATGATACATCACGAGCTTCTCTCTGAGCAGGCTCAGTGAAGTGCTGTGATGCAATTATAGGTCGCAGCGGCAAGGTTGGAGCTGGAACTGCTACTGGAGTGGTGCTTGAAATAGCAGGTCGGAAAAGATTAATTGGACTTGGACGTTGAATAGAAGAAGCTGGCAGCCGGGTGGCAGAAGGAGCTTCACCTTTAGGAAAGAGAGCAATTATTTATCAGACACAAGTAAAGGAAGAGATTTCGTAAACAGTGACATAGCAAACCACATCTGGAGCCAGAACCATTTCCTCCAAAACATTTTATAACATTGCTTCCCTGCAACTTGCTGTCAAATGCCAACTGGGCTATGTGTGTCTGGCATGGTTTTGGAGTCCATATGCTTAATCTTCCTTCAACAAAACAAAACAAAAAACAAGGGTGAATGAAAAATGAACTACCATTTAGTGCCTGGAGATCAGAAGGCATCCCAGGTCTACTAGCTGAGATGGCATGAGCCAAATTCTTAATAAATCTGCATGGAGCCAAAGCAGAAGTGAAGAGCAGAACTAATAGTTACAGAACAGCTTTCTGATATGTTTTCTTATTTGTTTCACCTACAAACACATCCACTGACTAGTTTCACTTTAAAACATTTTGCAGATGTACACTTTCAAATTATACTTCATGTTAAAGGCTGCCTTTACACAGTAAGATTTCAAAACACACTGCATTAGTGTTCCCAAAAATCACTAGCTAGTCTAAGCATCTAAATGCTGAGTCAATTAGACTTAAATCCTTCTAGATTTTACCATTTGTGTTTGAGAGTGATTTCAAGCTCAATAGGATAGTAAACCCTGGAATGAAACATAGTAGTATCTGAGGACACTGTAACATTGTAAGACTCACCAGGGAAAGAAATGAAACGCTTAATTCTGTCGAATTTAAGGAACAATTTGAGAAATGATCACATCTCTATTTCAAAAACTTTACCAGAACAAAGTACAGTGCTCTCTTTTATGTCTCCAAATATTACCATGCAGCATTAACAGGCATTTCATTTTCTTGTCTCACTAAAGTCCAGTGCCTGAATCTAAGCTGTTTGTCGTGATCCACTGTCCGTGCTCTGATGAAAGAGCCAGAGCTCTTTCACCACAAAACATGAGAAACTGCAGGTTAGATGTTTATATTTGCATGTGGGCTCTCATATTAAACTCCATTTCACTGCTGAAATATTTAATAAAAAAGGAATATCTTTCCAGGTTAGGTGCAACATTTAATGCATTTCTTCAGACTACGGGTGTGTGCAAGTTGGTAACAGCTATGCATAGAACATTCCAGAGGTGCACAAAACACCCAAGTAACTGATGGAAAACACACAAGATAAAAATTCTTTACCAAAACTCTTCTAACTTCATTTCTAAACACGTTGCAGACAATTTTGCCTCCTTGTGTGCATCATAAGAGCCCTAGAATAGTGGTGCTTCGCTAGCAAAGAACACTAACATTGGAGTGGAGGTAATAAGCTAATAAAACTTTCCAGGCTTAATAGAGCAGGTTTGAATGCTAGTGCAGTTAGATCTGGGGTGGAAAGATATGGGTGAGGGAGACAGAACAGAGAAATGAAATGATTATAGCTCTTCAAGAGGCAAGTGTCGAATAACAGACAGCCAGAGGGACCCACGAGGCACTAGGAACTACAAAGACAATAGCAGCATCTGTGGATGGTGAAGAGGGGGACAGAATTAAAGAGCAGCTAAGTGTATGGAAGCAGTAGGTAGAGACTAGGAGGCAAAGGTGCAGTGCAGAGGAGAATTGAAAGAAATAGCAATGTCCATGCAGACTGAGAAGTCATTTTTTAAATATACCTACACTACTAGATACTTCTGCTATAATAGGTAAATTCCTGATTTTTAAAATCATTCACTATTGCAACTCACAGACTGGATGTCCAATATTTTTCTGAATACTGTGCATGGCAGCAGGGAATGCAGGCGATGGAAAGGGATAAACAGCAACTGGATTTGTAGTGATGATATTCTGGGTAGTGCTGGAAAATACAGCAGAGACAGCCAGTGGATAACGCTTCCTCTTGCCTGGTCGTGGCTGATAAACCCAACCTGCCAGAGATGAAAAAATGCAGATATACCATTTATAGGATGGTCTCTCCGTTTCTTTTTCTTTTCTCTCTCTCTCTCTCTCTCTCTCTCTTTTAACCTTATACCTCAAGAAAAAAATAAGAAAAAAAAGTCAAAGAGTTCTCAAAATGCTTCAATAGCAAAACTGCCTTTCTGGCAGTGAGTGAGTAAATGGGGTGTTTTATCAGAGGTGGAAAGAAAACGGACACATTTGGGCAGTGTGTTTGTGTTACTGAACTGTAACTGTTCGTGAGACAAAGAAATACAGGAGGGTAGGGAGTGACATGGCACAGCTACAGAAAGCATGCTAAGGAGAACATGACACTGTCAGCTTTCCAGTCCTGAAGGAAATCATGACTGTATTCAAAATGTGGGTCTTTTCTGATTTTTTCTTTAACCCCACAAATTTCACATAATGCAAGAGACAATGGAAAATATGATCCAATAGGAATCCCATATAGATTTTGGCAATAAAAAATATGTTTGCCTCTGACATATAACATTAACTAAACACTAGCAGACTTTAAATAAACTGTGAATTTACACTGAGCAGCCCAGGGTAGAGAGAGAGAGAGAGCACTGCACTTCATCTTTTGCTTATTTATGACATATTAATCAGACATGGTCTAGTTGTAACTGTGAGCAGGATTATGACATCACAAAGGATTGTGACACCTGATATCTTAACAGCTTTCAAAAAGAGTGTTGCAAATTCTTATGTTTTGTTACTATCCTATTAACTAAACTGCAATGTTGTGGATAAACAAATTTGTTGAGGGTTTTGGAGCAATGTTCATAATAACCTCTGCATGTAGCCAGAAGAACTGTGATGGTCTGAGAATGTAGGAACCATTAGAGACTCTAAAGGATGCACATAATTTTTGGATGCTAAAAAATGAATATGTTTTCACAAGCACTAGAAAGCTGATAGAAGAACTGAGTGCTTGAAATTTGTCATGTTTTCTAACTCTTCTCTTCGCTCTAATGAAATAAATCCTTTTTGTGTTTTTATTTATTTATTTTTCTCCTGTGAATCCTGCACTACTAAAACATTGAGGTAAATCAATACATGTTTACCAGGAAATTCCTCTCTGTGCCTTTGTTTTATTTTCCGAGCTTCATCGTAATAGGGCTGTTTCTGCTCTTCAGTCAGTTTGCTCCACTCCAACCCCAGCTGAACACTGATTTCAGCATTATTGGCATTGGGGTTGGCTTTAGCTAGGGCAGGTCGGTGAATCCTAGCCCACACCATAAATGCATTCATTGGACGCTTTACATGGCCAGTTTTGTCCTTGCTGAATGGAGTATCTGGCATACCTATGCAACAAAATGAGGAAAGATCATCTTCCAGGCAATACACTCAGTACAGATTACATCAAAAGGCTTTTCAGTGACAGTCAAAAGAATCACTAGAGCTTCAGAATACACAAAATTCATTGCACATGCGGAGAGCAATTCTTAGAAAAATAATTAAGGCTCTACTAACCTCTACCGAACCACTGTATAAGGAATCATGTGCATGGCTTTTGTTGTTTATTCTCTTTTTAAAAATATGTAACACATGTGACTGCTAAGACAGTTTGGATTTCACTTGGCTAGACCGTTTCCTGTAACTTGTTTATGAATTGAACTCAGTATGGCATAGACCATATCACTGCAGATTTGTCATCTCCCCCAGAACTGTGTATCCAAAAGCCCTAACAATGCACAGGCAAGGCCTAACACTGGTATGGCACTTCAGTCCCACTACTGTGCCGTCTCTGGCTTCTCTGCTGAGGCTGTTGCTATGCTGGGTTTCTAGATGGGTTTTTTCCCCTTAGATATGGACAGTCATTTGCTGGAGGAATCTGTTTTACCAACTGACTGTTACATGACACCTAGCTTTACATCTTTGTAAACACAGACTGTGTTTGGATTGAACTGGTGACATAATGAACAGCCAGAACCCTCACAGCTGATCCCTCAGCAAAAGGCTTAGAAACAAACTGTTCCATACTATCAATAAAGGGAGAAGGTCTTCTTATCTTTAGAACTTAGCTTTAAGTCGTGAATTTTAGAAGCCTAAAAAACCATAAATTTTAAAAGCCTTTTTTTCTTTCCAGAACAATTAAGCACCTAATCCAGATACTACAAGATGTTCATCGCTTAACATGCCCAAGTTGTCCTGGAGAGGTGTATGAACGCTCCATTTTAAAAATCAAGCAGACACCTAAACTGCAATTTGCAATCAAAATTCAGCGTGGTTCTAAACATTTATAAAGGGGTTCAGTAGAGGCGGGGAGCAAGCACTATATTGATTCCAATAGAGAACTCAGTGCTCCTGCAGCTCACACGTTACCCTGAATTAGATGGTTTTACAAACTACAATGTATCCAGAGGGATAGCTCTCCAGTGCTGTCTTTCCACTCCTCCTGATAACCTGTCAGCTGTGTGGCTGTGTGTCCCTTACCAAAACCTTGCCAACTCAGTTTCTTAACATAATACCTGAATCGGAGGGCAGTACTGTGAGGGGAACGTTTTTAGTTTCAATTTTTACGGAAGGCTCCAGCAGGGTCTGCATTTTAAGCGGCACTTGGCTCACGGGCCCCTTTGACACCTGGATCAGCTTTGGCAGCAGGGGGCCTTGGACCTGTATACGGGCGCCAGGCGGCAAAGGGCGAAGCACCAGCGGGATCTTCAGGTCTTCAGGGAGGACCCCCGGCCCCTCGCTGGGCTGCGCCACGCCGCCATCGCCGCTGACGTGTGCGGACCCACGCGAGGCCCTGCCTGCAGCGCTGTCCTCGTCCCCATCCGCCCTCGCTCCCGGACGGGGCTCCTTCACGCCTCCTCTGATCTCCACCACCACCACGTCTTCCTGCTCTTCTCCGCCGCGCTTTTCTCGATCCTCTTTCGCCTTCTCTTTCCCTCCCCACGGAGCCGGGGAGCACCTGAGCTCCCCTCCCGCTTCCTTGCCGCCCTCAGGACAGGCTGGGAAGCCTCCATCCTGCCGCTGCGGCTCCTTGGCTTTAACGCGCGTCGCCTGGAGCGGCGCCTGGGCCTCCTCGCCGCTTGAGGGACCCTGAGAGCAGAGATCGTGGTCAGAATCCGGGCCGTGGCCGCCGCCCCCGCCCCGCTCCATGACGCCGCTGCCGTTTGCCGCCTGCGGTTGGTCCCCAACGCTCGCAGCGCCCTCGCGCCGCCGTCACCAACGAGAGCGCAACGCTCCCTCCGGCCCCTCCCACCAACGCACAATGCGGTCGCCATGGAGACCCGCTTCCAGGATCCATAGAGAAGTCCTCCAAGGCGCCTAGAAGGGCTCACTGCTGTGCCGTCTCTGGGGGGGGGGGCGCCCTGCACTTCCGCCTCTCCGCTGGCCATGCTGTGCTGCCTGCGGGCGGCTGTGGCGGCCATCTCGGCGGGTTGCGGGGCGGGCTGTGTGCGCGGCCGCTTCTCCATGGCGAAAAGCAAGTTCGAGTATGTGCGGGACTTTGAGACGGACGACACTTGTCTGCCCAACTGCTGGATAGTGGTCCGGTTGGACGGCCGCAATTTCCACAGGTGAAGGCCGGGTGGGCAGCCAATGGGCGGGCAGCTTGTTGCGGGGTGGTTGCTATAGCAACGCGACCTGGACCTGGTATGGGGGGGGTGTCTGGCTGTAAGAGCCACGTCCTGCTTAACAAGCGTGGCTGTGACGGGGACACGGTGTACCTGTGGGGAGGGAGGGATTGCAGCTGGTGTGGAGGGACCGTGTTTGTGTTTGGGGTCAGCATCCACCTTTCTTCGGGATAAATCCTGTTGCTGGGGCTTTGATCTCTGGTTTGCTCGAGTCTGATTTCAGTAAAGCTGCCAAGTTTTGATGTATTTGTTGGTAGTGTTGTCTCGGTGGGACTGAGGTGCCCTAGGAGAAAATGGCCTTACAGGAAATGGTATTTGTCATCATCTGAATCCAAGTGAAATAAGAATGATGGGTTAGGATGAGAGCCTGATGAGAAACAGAATAAGTTTTCTGCAGTGTATGCAGGTTACTCTGAAAATAATGCTTCTGACTTATTTCTTTGAAAACTACAACAGCTACAAAGAGCACAATAGCACTGTTTGATAGAGAAAATTCTCAGCTACAAAACACTATTTTTCAGTGCAGTCACCACCATGAACTATGCATTTTCGCCAGCAATGAATAAGAGCCTGCATGCCACACTTGTATGAATTGGTACCAGCAGAGCTGACCCACTGTCACGGTGCTAAAACTCAGTAGTCACTGCTTAACAGTGCTGACATCCACTGTTTGGCCTCCATAAACATTCAGCAAGTGATGAATGTCAGTGGGTGCCTTTTTTTCCACCTAGAGGAATATTGTTCCAAACCTTTGCTTCATGTGCCTTTCCGTGTCAGACTGCCCCTCTGCTGCCATCTGTCACATGGCAACAAAATGTAACAGAATATTGGTGGGATGGTTCAACCACTACTGCCATTCCACCAACATCTACCTCTGACATCATGGACCAGCAGGAGGCATTACTTTTGGATCAGCTCTTATGTAAAACCAATTTTTTGTTACTGTTCTTCACACCTGTAAGGAATTGTAAATCAATATTTGTAAGAACTAAATACAAAGAAAATGAATCAGTTCACATTTCCGAGCGACCTTATAAAGGATTCTTATTCTACCATTTTTTTCCTTGAAGGTTTGCTGAGCAACATGAGTTCAAAAAGCCAAATGATGACCGTGCTCTTCATCTGATGACCAAGTGTGCCCAGACAGTGATGCAGGAGTTGGAGGACATTGCTATTGCTTATGGACAGAGCGATGAATACAGTTTTGTTTTCAAAAGGAAGAGTAAATGGTTTAAAAGAAGAGCAAGGTAACACCTGCTTTGGTATGAAAGTGAGCTTGTCTCTAAGCCTGTGCCTTGGCCCTCATCTTTACGTTTGCCTTTATCTGTACACAGAGGCTACAGGCTGGGCTGTATTTGGAAACATGTACTACAACTAGTTCTGGTTCTCAATGTGAACTGTGCAAGCAGTGTTTTTGTAGCGTATAGTGATGTGAAGTTTTAGGTAGTTTTGGTAAAACAGGGCTTCTTTTAGCAAAGTGTTTTGCTTTCCAAACTCGTGTACTTGATTTATAAAAGATTATGCCGTTGCTGAACTGTTGGACCATTATATAAGAAATAAAGCCATAATGTCCATCAGAATTACTGCCATTGATACATCGTGGTTATATGTCCATATTGCCATACTAATGCATGCCTTTCTTTTCCTTTTGTTTTGTGTTTACAAGTAAGTTCATGACTCATGTGGTCTCCCAGTTTGCCTCAAGTTACGTTTTCTATTGGAAGGATTACTTTAAGGACCAGCAACTTCTGTACCCACCAGGATTCGATGGACGAATTGTGCTGTATCCCAGCAACCAAAACTTAAAGGACTACCTCAGCTGGAGACAAGCTGATTGTAAGCATTTCTAGAAAATTGAACAGTTGAGTTTTCATCCTCTCTAAATAGAAATGTCCTTATTGCCATTGTGTTTGTATACGGAACTTGTCAGTTAAAGAACAGCAGGTAGGATGGTATTTTTTTAAATAGGAAGTGTATGTATTGCAGTGGGACTTGTCTGGATGCATAAGTGTCAGCTAGAATTCTGAATATTTAGATGATGACTGAATTTGCTGCATGCTGGGTGTGAATTCAGTACAGGAAATATTAATAGAATTTGGTTATGATTGTTTGTCTCATATTCTTGAGTGTCCTCATTTAATCTTAAATGAAAATCTTCTGAAATGTGGGAAAGTGATAGAGGTTAAAAGGGCTGCATATACCATGCTGAAAGACAGTATTTGGTTTCATTTCTAAGTCTCCATTAACATGTAGCCCTTGTTGTTCAAACTGAGATAACTAAGGTCATACAAAAAACTCCCTTCTTCCCCTGCTCTTCCTTTTCAGATGTAAAATTAATCTGTCTTCTAGTTATTAACAGTATGCAGTGTGTTTAAAAATGGATCACAAAGACTGTATCTTCTCTACCGAATGATATTATTTATTCTCTGAAGTTTTTTGTTGTGACTCTGGGAATTAAATTGCTTTTTATTTTTTTTGAGCATTCAGTCAATTTTTTTTTGGTTTTTTTTTGTTTTTTCTGTAGGCCATATCAATAACCTTTATAACACAGTGTTTTGGATGCTTGTACAGCGGAGTGGTTTGACACCAGTGCAAGCACAGGATAGACTCCAGGTAAGAATCTCTCAAGATTATGTTCTAGGCACAAAGAAAATCATCTGGTCTGCCAAGTTGTGCTTTGCCTGCTCAGCAGCCCTGGCTGACTTTTCTGTTCCTACTATAGCAATTTTGTGGGTGCATATTCAACAACTTCTTGAATTGTAAAGATGATGATATGATTAGCAAATAATACATTTTATCTGGAATTTTACCAGTATTTTAATTTCTTATTTAGTGAGTTCAGAAATTTTGAAAACATCATGTAAACATTGGCGTCTGTAAGTAAGAAATAAAATGAAAGGATTCAATTAGTATGAGTTCCCAATCCCTCTTCTATTATTGTCTCATTGTGCAGATTTCAGGAGATTATTTCTGTTCTTCTCTTGGTTTCTGTTGACTTTCTATTTATCTTGAAAACATAAGACAGACTTGAAAAAAACCCCTGTTTTTAATATCCCCATTTAGCAGTTGAAAATAACTCCTGTGTTGGGGAAAATCAATTACACTTTGTAATTTAAAGATGAAAAACCTCTTTAAGTGCCATTACTACTTTCTGTATTTACCCATCTTCTGCTCTGCAGATTCAGTTTGCTTGTAACCTTGTTGGTTTGTTTCTGTCTTTTTCTATAAGAGTGCTTGCTTTCATTTTCTTGTAGGGAACTTTGGCTGGAGATAAGAATGAAATTTTATTTTCTGAATTCAATATCAACTACAACAATGAACCTTTGATGTATAGAAAAGGAACTGTCTTAATATGGCAGAAGGTAAAAACTTTATTACCACTTGCTTCCTGTTCTTGTTTTAAATAGCTACACTGTGACCAGAAAACTAGTCTGAGTGATCACCAAATGGGAATAATGCTCTGTGGATGTTTATTTTTAGAGATATTAAAGTAACCAAACTTTCCATATGATGTAGTGAAAGGTGGCTAAGTGTTTTGAAGGTGTTTTTAAATAACCACGTCTATCAGCATAGCAGCTTTGAGAAATTAGGAATTCTGCTTCTTGGAAAAAAGTACATTTTAGTAACTGTTGTCTGTTTTCACCGCAAAGGAGTCACAGTCATCCAATAACACATTCAATAACTCAGCTGGCAATAATTTAGTACCCTTTTCTTATGTAAAGGAACATACTACAGATTGCAGCTCTTTATGGGGAATTCCTTTTAAGGATAACTCAAACATTTTCATCATTCTGCATAACAGATGCAGTATTAGTGTAAGAAATACCAGTTCTGTATGAAGTCAGTCCCAGGAAACTGTAAATGTTTATGGCCTTCAATCTTTCTACCACAGAAGGATATATTTAATTAGTAATATGAGTGTTTCATGTGATCAGAACCCAAGCAGTCCATGCTAGGAGTTCTCTTTAATTTGTTCAGTCTTTTGACTCCTATATATGTGTGTGTCTGTATAAATATAAAGAATTAATTTGCTTGTGTGTTGGTTGTTTTTTTGTGTTTAGTTGTCGTTTGTTCCATTTTAGGCAGTGATTTCTATTACTTCATTTGAAATAATTAGAACAAGTAGAGGCTCTCCCCTGGGAATATATTTCACTTGATCCTTATATGTTATTTTTTCTTACTGATTTTGGACATTTTTGAGGTTTCCCATTTACTTTAAGTGGTTTTGAGTTAAATATTGTGCTTTAATCAAGGATATTTGCAGTCAGTTGCGTGGAGTTTGAGGTGACTTCCTCAAGCTACATGATGATGATGTGCAGTTTCACCTGTTCATGTGTCAGTTGTCAAACAGAATAGACTCTAAGTTTCTGAGTTCAAATTCTATAGTGTGCCATAGGGTTGATGGTTACTTTTACTATAGCTCTTATTCTTGTCCATTTGTGAATCCCCTCTGAAGTCTTATATGTCTGCTAATGTGTCAACTCTATTTTCAGGTGAATGAGGTAATGACTAAGAAAATTAAACTGCCAAAGGAATCAGAAGAAAAGGAAGTTGAAGTGACCCGGACTCGGACTAAAGTTGTTCCCCTGCACTGTGACATTATTGGAGAACAGTTCTGGGAGGAATATCCTGAGATTCTGGCTGAGGATAGCTGATATTTCTGATGAGTGTAACTGGTAGTTTGTTTTGCTCTGCTTGAGTTGTTGCCTACTGGGAAAGTATGGATTGTCATTGGCAGATTTTAACCTGTAAAATGTCTCCAACATTACGCTGCTTTCAGCACTGTAAACTTGCCTGGAAATGAGACACTGCTATGTTGTCTGACATATGAAGATGGATCCATGTGGAAAGCCTTAAGTCATACTCTATTTGAAATGTTAAGAACTCGTCATAAATTGACTGATGCTTGTACATACAGAAGAAGTGTATAGAAATGTTATGTATTTCTATAGCACGTAAATCATGGGATGTTTTACTAACTGACAGCTTACAAAAAAGCTTGTGTATTGAATAGTTAAGGGCAGAGGAAAAAGTCCTTATTTTTTTTACTTTCAATTCAGAGACAGATCAGAATACTTCAAGTGACATTTAGTATTAAATTTCCAGGCCCCTGTGATATTAGTGAAAAAACTCTTCAACTTCCTAATGACTGATCCTTACAGAGTGGAAATGAAGTACCCCAGCAGTTTCCTATGACTGATTTTAAATGCTTTTATCAAATGTACAGGATTTTTATACTTCTAAACTATTAAAAAATAGTTATTTCTTCCTTCTTTATTTATTATTTGGACTTTTTCATTGCTGGGACTTTTAGTAATAATCAGTGAAGGTTTCAGATAGTCTGAGAGTAATAAAACTGTACAGACTTTAATTCTATTAGGACATAAATAGACATTGTGCTCTCATCTTCTGTAGACTGGAAGTCATCTATCCACTACTTGAAATGGAAGAACAAATGCAGCAAAGTGAGTATGTTCTTGTAAGGATTATGCTAACAAGAACTTGTGTTGCTGTTCACTGGTTTTCTTGAGGTAGATACAGATATAGCAGTCATGACTGTATACACTGAGGAGGAGGGAGGGAGTTGTTGCTGAAGTTCATCACTGTTTAACTATTAATTAATCTACTGAAGAGCAGAAACATTTCTGCTAACATAAAGGGACTTGCCCCAGGAGAAATGGAATTTGAGGGAAATAACCTATTTCAGTACAAATGCTTTTATATGATTATAATTGTATTTCTATAAGAATGATATTACTGCTTTTAACCATGCTGGTTTCAGAAACATGGTGCTAGAACCATAATCTGGTTGGCAAGCTGTTGTTAAGGGAGAACCACAGTTGGGACCACCCATAGAAATGGAAAGAGGATCAAATAGCACTAACAAAGTCAGGTAAGTGCTGAGCTGAGTTGGTTTATCTGCTTTTCTTCTTACAAGAACTTCTACGTTTAAGGCAATGTGCAATTCTTATTAAATGAAAAACACAAGCCCATAAACAGGCATTTTGCTGTGTTTTGAAATACTGCTTGCACTTTCTTCCTTTTTCTGAGAATGAACAGTTAGTCTGTGCAGTTACAGTATTGGGACAGGAAGCTCCATGATGTATCCTAATTCTGAGAAATTAATGCTAAACAATAAGAATAATATATATTCTTAATTTGTAGAATGGCACATACAATTTCTGGGAAGAGGATATGAGGGAGTTTGAGAGACGATTCTGTATGAATCATTTTGCTGCAGTCATTGAGAGCTGTTTCTCTGGTGGCTTGGGGTTTTTTGATGTATATTTTTAAAATCAGAAATGTGATTTTCTTCAGTCTTATCTGCCATGTTCCTACCTGGTACCTAATTTCAGACACTGCCTGTAGAGCAACTGCTCCGGAAGTGGCAATATTTGGGTTTTGCAGTCTGAGTAAAGATGAGAAAACATTGCAACCACGGTCATGTCTCATGTAGGTATTGTATTGTTCATTTTTTCCAGGGGCTGCTGCATGACAGGGGATGTGATGTATAGACACACATATACACACTCAAGGCTGTGCAAAGCTGGGTTTGCCTCTGCTGCCAGCGTTATGGCAGTATCAATACAGTATTATGTAGGTTTTTAATCTCATATAGTGTGATTTTCTGATTCATGCTGTGCTTTGTCTCCTTATGCACGCACACTGTGTGTGTCTGAACAGAGGTATCAGGTTTTTCCATTTAACTCATCCTTACAACATGCAGTAAGTAAACATCGTATGGAGGGAGACTTTGGAACCAAGTTATGAATTGGCTTCACAGCCACAGCCTTCCATTTTTGTTAATTTAAATGCTGAGAGGAGAAAAAAAACTTCCTTGTGTGCTTACTGGACTTCAAGTAGGTGGTGTTCTCATATGTAACCTCATATAGGACCTCACTGCACTGAAAAAGCGGAGCTTTGTATGGTTGGTGGGTAACTGTGTCAGCTCTATTGCTGCAGCAGGAAGCATGGCGCCTCCGTGAGCCAGTTACAAAATATTAATTAAAAGGCGGGGGAATCTGTTACAGTAAAAACACGCAGCAACAGTACCACAGCATCGCCTTTCCTGTGAGAAATGTTCCTGAGCTGTATAGGATGTAATGGGCTGAAAGGAAGGCGGTGCTGCTCGCCTCGTGCGCGGGCTCCGAGCAGCACCGCCCGACGCTGCGGCTGCACGGCGAGGTCACGGATTGCCGCAGCGTCGCTGGCGGCCGACAGCCCCGCACCGCGCGGTGCGCCGCCCCTCCCCGCTCCGTTCCCGCGCCCCGCGGGGCTCTGCGGGCGGCGCGGCAGCGCCCCCTATCGGCGGGCGGCGCCGCAGCCCGGCATGGAGGAGGACGAGGGGGCTGCGGGCGGCGCGGAGCAGCGGCACCCCCGCCGGCGGCCCGGGGCCGAGCGCTCCCCCAGCCCCAGCCGCCTGGACGTGAGCTCCAGCCGCTTCGACCCTCTGCTGGCGCTGTACTCCGCCGACACCCCGCTCCCCTTCCCCTCCGCGCCCTGCTTCAACAACCTCGCCGAGTACGAGAGCTTCCAGCGCGGCCTGCTCCGTCCGCGCGGCCGCCGCGGTCCCTCCGTCCGACGCGGCCCTTCCGCAGGGCGCTCCGCCCGCCGCGGTCCTCCGGCCTCAGACCCCGAGCGAATCCAGCGCCTCCGCAGCCTCATGGTGAACGCGGGCCCCGAGCAGGACGCGGCGGGCGGCGGCACGGCACGGCGCAGGAGGGCGCCGCGAAACGTCCTGACCAGGATGCCGCGTAAGGCGTGCGGGGCCGGGCTGTGCGGGGCTGCGGCGTTTGGGCCGGGCTGTGCGTGGGAGGCCGAACGGTTTTTGGTGTTTTATTAAAAACTCTGCGGGTTTTCTGCGGTCTCAGCGCTGTCACCTCCGCGCCGTTCTTTACGCAAAGCTCAAAACGTTCGGTTGTGAATGACTGAAGCAGAAGTTTTTTCTTGTGTGGGTGCCAAAGCATAACGAATGCCTTGCTGCAGGTGCTGCGTGAACCTAAATCTCGTTGTGTTTAGGATTTCCAGAAGGATCGGCTTTAAATATTGCTTTGGTGGCTTTATATGATGGCTGAGTTTGGAATGCTATGGCTGAAACAGAAGGAAAAAAGAAAAACACTATGTAAAAATTAACGTCTTAATGCAGCTCACGTCTGCATTGAGAACGTATATTTTATATTCATGCTTATCAGATGAGACAGCACTTGCTAAGACACAGCACCTGGATATTTTTAAGGTTCCTCTGAAAAAGAAACATAGGAATCTGAACCTGCACTCTGAAAGAACTAAAAGGATCCTGTGAGTTCTCAGGGTTGGTTTGAAAATACGCTGTGTGGTTAAAAACATCAGTTTGGTGTAGTGTCACCTGTGCTTCAGAGCATGGTTTGTTGTCAGTTGGGTTGGAGAAAGTCTCTGCTTGACCTTAAATCAAAGCCAGGAGTAGAGGAGGCAGCTTGTATTGGTGTGAAAGCAGTTTTCTCCAGCTGTCCTGGCAGTGGACATGGAAAGAAGGCACTGGATCTCAAAATAATAAAAAAAAGTGATTTAGGTTAATTCATGGGGAGCTGTTCCATGCAGCCAGCCTCTGCACATCAGCTGCCGTACAGTAACATGAGGCTTGCAGTGTATATATTCCTGATGTGCAATCAAGCCTTGAATTTGCAGCCCCTAAAATGCAAGGAGAAGGGTCATCTCTGGTTGAGATATTTTTGTTCGTATGAAAAGCTGCAGGAGGACTTAAGTAAATATTTTTCATTCTGGAGGAATTGTTTTGTACCAAAACCTGCTGTGCTTCCACTGTAAAGCAAATAATTTCTTCGTACATTTATTATGAATGTATTTTGTTGAAGACCAACCATGTTCTCTTTCTGTTTTAGTGCATGAAGGCAGCCCACTGGGGGAGCTCCACCGCTGTGTCCGAGATGGTGTAAAAATCAACGTTCACATCCGCACTTTCAAGGGGCTCCGTGGAGTCTGCACGGGCTTCTTGGTTGCATTTGACAAGTTCTGGAATATGGTAATTACCATTCCAAGCCCTTCATTTATAGCTGCAACACTGAAAACTTGAAATTTGCAACAGGTGTAAGCAAATTGTGTTTACAGATGTGGTGCTGTGGTCCCTAAATCTTGTACGCTTTGGCATTGAGTGCTGGGTTTCAGCCTCAGTGCTGTGTGGTGTTGGGTTGGTGTGTCTGGCTGACCCCCAGCTGCTTGATAGGTCTTAGGTGGGGATGGAGAGATGTTGAAGAGTACCAAGAGCCTCAAAGGTTTTATGTAAGAACCCCAGAAGGTGGAATATGAGGAATATCAGGAGCTTTTGGAGATTTCTCTGATGTCTTTCACTGATAAGTTGCTTTTGCATCTCAGTGAAAAAGCTATCCCTCTGTTCTACTATGTGTACATCTTAGTGACTGTGAAAGGAACTATTACAAATCTGTGGCTGTGAAAAGCTTGGAAATAGGTAGAAAAAAAACAAAGATTTTGAAAGCAGGGCTCAGAAAGGTTTTGTAAGTAATACAGGATGAGTGTTGGGCTTTGCTGTTACTTTTATGCCTCGGTAGAACTCAGATGACACAAAGCCACCTCCAAAGCACATCTTGTTCCTAGTGTGGATTTTCTCTCAGTTAGAACATCATTTCATAATGCAATGAGACAAAACTGGCCTGGAGTCTCTGTGTTGTTTTTTTATTTTGTACTTTCCCTCTCTTTAATGTTCTTCTAGGCCCTGACAGATGTGGATGAGACATACAGGAAGCCAGTACTGGGCAAAGCTTTCTATGCAGAACCTCAGCTCTCACTGACCCGGGTAGGTAACCCTCTGCCATTCTAATGTTTTGAGTATCTCATTGTTCAGTGTAGTGGAAGAGGAGCATTGACTGGAAAACTATGCTTACAGTAGAAATGTTTTACCTCCTTTTATTACAGGTGACTCTAAAGTGACTTGAACTGAAAAGTTAAGTTTTCTGAACTTCTGAAAGTACTTTGGCTATAGATCAGTGTTACTGATGTTCTGCTTTAGAATTTCCAGTATCAGATCACAATTGCTGTCACTGCTTAGTTCAATATGCTGATCTTCAGTAAGTTCAGTCCCTGGTTCTTGACTGGTTTGTTCTCTGCTGTCTGGTTTTGCACTATCACATTTTCTGCCCTCTGATAGCCAGTGTAAATCCAGCATAAATCCAGTGTTTTGTGCCCTAGCTAGTTTGGTACAAAAGCACTTTCTGCACTCGTGATTGATCCAGTCCTCATTTGTTCCACCAAGTGATTTGCAGTTCCTAACTGGTACTAATGTTTGTGGAGTGACAGTCTTTCTAGCCAGCAGTGTGTCTGTCTTGTCACTTGAACTTCTAGCCTAGCTTCTGCAAAGCCCAAAATTCTTCATGCTGCTGCAAAGCAAAACTCTAGGATCCAGCTACAAACACGTTTGTGAAGTTGGAAACTGAAAAAGTGATACACAAACTTCTGAACAATGAAGGAAAAAAAGTGACAAGGCTGTGTCTACTCAGTGGCATACCTTGGGGCCTTCTGAACATCACAGGAGCATTACGAAAACTTTAAATGGCTCCATTGCAAGGAATTTGCTTTTAAATTCCTGCCATTTAAATCTCTTCTCTGAGATTTCCTTCTTTTTCAAAAAAAAAAAAAAATTAGTTTAAAATAATCAAGTTGTCATTGTTAGTTTTAGCCAGCTCTCACAGAGACTCGCTACCCGTCCTGTTGCTAGGAAGAGACTGCCTCACCAAGAATCCTTTTCATTTGTCAGGATTTCATAAAAGCTTGGTGCTGCCAGAGTAAAAGCAGTCCCTTTTCCAGATTCTGAATTGTGTATTCTTGGAGAAATGAGCTCATGCAGTGCTTTGGATCTGCTGCTGTAGCTTTAATTATTTTCCTATTGTTTTTGGTCTGCTCACCTCCCAGAAGTGGCCTTCTTCAGTTTGTTTCCAGGAGCACAAAGAATGTTTCAGCACGCATTCCTTGCTGTTTGAGGCTCCTTATCTTGGAGATGTGTGTCCCAACTGGGGACACAAGGATGGAAATTTCTCTATTTGACAGAATTACAAGAGATTTGGGAGAAGTGACCTAACAGAGCGACTTAGTAGCTTTCTGTTGTACCTGACCATGGTTAAATGCTACTGCACATCAGTATTGCTCCCCACATTCCTTAATTATTGTGTAAATATGCTTATGTACTTACAGGAGATCTGTTTACCTTATGTCACAGCTTGACTTTGGCAACAAAGCATGTATCATAGTAGTTATTTCTGGTAAAGATTCTTTGTTCATTGAGTATTATGAGAACTGGTTTGGGACCGTGTACTCAAATACCATACAGAAGTGCAGAACAAGAGGCTTTCCTTGTTTTCTGAGTGGTCACATACAGAAATGTTCCTTTACAGCTGTTTGACAGACTCAAGCTGCAGGATGCCTCTGTGAAGAAGGGAGCTGACTCAAAGACTGTATCAGGGGAGCTAGCCCTGACAAATGACTCTCAGACGCCTGGATGGAAAGTTGGATCGGGACGAGGGAGAGAAGAAGATGAGCGTGAGAAGCAGAAACGCTTGGGCAGAGGTGGAGAAAAGAAGGTGCCAGGAGACAGTTTGCATCTGGCTGTCAGAGGTGAAGCTGATGTGGGCAGCGGGACTGCTCACACAGGGGGTGCCACTGCTGGTGGTACCCGCATAAGAAGCCAGGCACGGAGAAAAAGAAGGCCCAAAGTGGATTATCAACAGGTGTTCACACGTCACATAAATCAGATTTTTATTCGAGGAGAGAACGTCTTGCTTGTCCATTTAGCTCATTGACTTGGATGAGCCTTCGTCAGTGTATTTATTTGATAGCATGAATTGCTGTGGTAGCTCTCATTCCTATTTAGCATTCTTGTGAATGTGGTACTGTGACAGGTTTCCCACTGCCATAACAAGGTAGGGGAAGTAATTCTAACTGGAGTATCCTGAGCTTACTGCCAAAGCACCCTCCTTCAGTCTCTGCTGGGGGGTCTCAGGGTGAGCAGCATAGTTTTGCTTTGTGAGATGAGGGGGATGAGCACAGAGCCCACTGCTTCTTAAAAAGTAAACAGCTAAGTCAGGAAGGTTGGTAGAGAATGTTTGTGTAGTCAGATATAGGAGTGAACTGTGACATATGTTTAAGGAGCTGAAGATGAGATCTCCACCTGAAAGAAATCAAAAATGATATTTTGCATGTTCTGAGGAATCCCTGATTTCACATGTTCCAAAACCAACTGTTTATCTGCCATTGTTACACAGATGCCTTCTCTTCCAGATGTAATTCTGACAGTCAGATTAAATAATGTGTGAAAAGGTGGGGTGGCATGCTACTGAGGCTTCATCATTAGCTCTGTAATGCTCTGTGTGATAGAAAACCTCTTCTCTCAGTTGAAGACTCTTCTTTTTCTGTTAATGATTGCCAGGATTTAATCTTTTTGCAATGTCAAAGCTTATGCTCCTGTTTGCAGTGCCATGCTTTCACCATGTGTCACCAGCAAGCAGCTAATGGAGCTGATGTAGGGACCTCCATGTTTGGAGAATCTCTCTGAATGCTGTGGATGCATATGGAAAACTGTACCTTTCTCTTTCACCCATTTGCTTCCTGTTGCAATAGCAATATCTGCAAAGATGTAGTTTTCCTTCTCAGATACAAGTGTTCTTGCTGAGCACATCGTGCTGTATCTAAGCGCCTTTAAATTCCCTCTGTTGAAACTAGAGGTGCTCTGTCTCCAGCTGTTCTTGGGGAGCACAAATTGTCATGATTCTTTTCTATCTGTATAAAAGTCAAACTCAGCTCATCGGTCATTTTATTTTAGCAGTGTTCTTAAGCTATGACAGATCAGACCAGGCTTCTGCATATATAAACTGCTTTCTGAGAGCTAAGTACAAAAGTTTGAGGTAAATAATGCTGTTAAATTACTTAGTCTGTTCTCTTGGATGGCAGAGGAGCTAGATTTCATGCTGCTATTCCTATTTTCGTACCAACTACCTTATGCTTCACAGCAGCTCTGGTGTGAAGATGTGAAATTGCCAGGACAACAGGTAAAACAGCTTTCTAGTGCTTTATAGCAGGTCTTGTATTGCATACTGAGGTCATAAGTCCTCAGACTGAGTGAGTGTCCTCTCGAATGACATGTTTCTATTGCAACAAGTGTGGTATATTGCTTACTTGTCATTAGGAGTACATCTGGTGCTTGGGTGAATTACAGAAGTCATTTAGCAGGAGCTCCTGGGCACGCAGAGTAGCTTTGAGCCTCTGGGGGAGTCTGAAACTTTTATGTCAGCATTTCAGATTGAGGTGGGGTTGGGTGACTGATCAGCACAGCCACTGAGAAGCAAATCTGAGTTCAGACTGGGACAAAAGTACCTCAGATTGAGAAGTGCTCTGGAGGCAAAAACCAGTTTCACGGAGTTAAGAAAAAAAGAATATTTACTATTTTTTATTACACGTAACTTCACTGCTGTAATTCCTTCCTACTATGAGCTCAGCACTGAGCAGATTCCTCCCTTGGAGGTTCTTGCCTCCTCTTGTGCTGTTGTTTGTGTTGATGTGGTCCCCTGTTCCCTTGTACGCAGTTTCCTTCTTTCAGTAGTTTCTCTCCTCAGGATGTTCCTTTCTAACTTTGCTTTCGGAACATTGTTCATCTCTTTACCCCTGGTGGCTCTTTCTGAACCTTTCCTGGTTGCCTTTCCTTGCACTTGCCAGCTGAACAGAATCCTCACAAATTATTGCAAGCGTATGAAGCTAGAAACAAGGAACTTCTTTCTGCTCCTGATTTCTCAGCAACTTTCATTGCAAATTACTGTTTTTCTTTATTTTTATTGTTTTCAGTGGTGTTTCTTTTTTCTCCTCCAGTTTCTGACTGGTTTGTTTCCGTTTCAGCTGTGTGGGCTGACTGTCTCTGCCTCTTCCATTCATGTGTGCCAAAGGCTGCTGGTTTGACACCTCTCCCTTTTCTCTCATACTTGACCAAGGGGTGTTGTATCTCCACTCAGGCTTCTGTGTCAGATCTTCCATTCAATTCTTGTAGTTTATTTTTCTAACCTTGTATCTGTATTTCTCTTTGTTTGCCTGTTTCATCCTTTCTTACACATTAAATAAGATACAGCTGTCTTGAGTGTTCTTTCAACTTTAGTGCCCTCTTTCCATGCCACTGACAGTTCATCATTTTCACTTATTACAACAAGTCTCAGTGTTTCCTTCCATAAAAGGTTTTTTTTCTGGAATCTTACAAGTGTTTGTTGCTTCATATCTATGCGTTTCTGATTGTAGATTCTATGAGAAATGCTGGTGCTCACACTTGCATTGGTGCCTTGATTTTTATATTGCTGACCTGTTCTTCCTCAGTCATCACCTCAGTCCACAAACCTGGTTAAGAGTGATACCATTTTATTTCTTTTTCCTCTACCTCATTATTAAACTGTTCTTCCTCTTTTCTCATTGCTTTCTTATCTCTGAACTTGATTCAGTTTCTTTTCCACTTTAGCTGTAATGGTTTGTGTGGTGGTTCTTCCTTTATTTCCTAATTCTTACCCACTCACTTCTCATTATTTCCAAGCTGCTTCTTAAATACAGCCTCTTCCATTCTCCTAGTCTTCCTGTTCCCTACTTTTTCTGACAGCGTATCATTTTAAGGCCCATTATCTAAGTACTGTTTGATGAACTTTGTCTCATTCAAACATAGTATTTGTTTATGACTTAGCAAGTGATGCTGTACGTGTTGTCACTTGCATGTTTAATACTTCAGATAAAGTTTCTCTTTAAATAAAATTGAATGCGATTCTGAAGTGAAGTTTTCTACCTCACTCAAGTATTCATGTAAATTGAACAAACCAAAACTACTTTGTTATTTTGGTTGTTGTTTCTGGTTGTTTCTTTCTGTTTTTTTTTTTTTTGCCTTTTCCAGACTCAGCACAGATCTGGGTTCTTCATTCGGCAGCTGGCTCCCCCTGCATTCTTCTTTTGCTGTAGTGTCACAAAGAAGGTGTGAGCATAGATATCTGAAGTTACTACGCTAAGACTGAGAGCAGGAGCAGGAGGCAGTCCTAAGAAACAAAGTAAAGGTCAGCAGGTTTTGAGACAAATGTAAAGAATCCCTGGAAGGGATTGCTCTCCTGGTTGCATTCTGCCTGGTTTCTGGGATGTTTTTCAGCCTGTTGGTAAGCACTGATTCTTAAAGCCCATTTGTTGTGAAGCACCAAATGATTGCAAGGAGCAGTGTTTTCTGATCCTCCTTTGAAAAAGTGCTGTGATCACTAGAGGTGATTTTAGGATAATTCCTGAAATAGCAGATGTGAAACTTGTGCAGTGTCACAATGCCAGCTGCAGATACATGATACAGTACGTATGACGTAATGCAGTAGTTTTAGAATTAAACTGTGGTGTCACAGATACTTCTCAGTGTCACCGTGTACCTTTCTATTGCCAGCATAGTTCAGTAGGGAATGAAGTCACATGGTAACTTTAATAAGGGCTATTTTGTTGTTTTTTTTGAATGGTGATGTAATTCTGAAGTCCTTTTCACACAGTCTGAGGGAGATTTTCATGACACCACAGCACAGATCCTTTATATGCTGTTGGGAAGTGAGGAAAACAGTGAGAACCAGGCTGAGCACCGCAGTGTTAGCCTGTAGTTGTGAGTATTGTTCTTTCTTGGGAAACTTTTACTCAGGTGCTTCATTTTTATCAAACACTTGGGAAGTATGGGGTGGTAACAGAATAGATAAGGCCAGTGTTAGAAAGGAGCTTGTAGAAAGTGCAGCTTTGAGTCTCTCACCTGACTAGTCTGGCTTGCTCATTGCCTGAAAGTTTTTCTGATCTAAAGTCAGGTGCCTAGCATGATGTTACTGAAATAGGCAGCACACAGTAGTTTGTGACTGCTTTTCTCCTTCAGCTACTGGACTGTTTGTTTCTGATGCAACTTTCCCCTGGGCACTGTTTAGAAGCAGGGGCAGGTCTCAGCAGCGTGCAGCTGGAATTGCCCATGAATTGCAGTGGATGAAGAAGTTTTCAGGAAAAAAAGGCAGCAGATATAAAAGATGTCTGATTTTTGTTGAATTTAGTGTTGTGTCCAACATGCTGCCCACAGTGCCCTTTCAGTTGCCCAGTGGCACCGACTGAAATGAAATCGGTACAAAGAATGATTTCATCTGGTCTTGAAAGAAAATGGGAAAGCAGATGGGTCAGCAAACTCAAGTATCTGAAGATGTGTAATTGCAGGTAAACTTTCAGTCTTTGATTAGACAGAGCAGAACTATAAGCAGCAGTTTAAGCTGAAGGCTGTGTGGCTGGATACAATTGCAAGGTGCAGCAGTAGCAGTGGTGCAGTGATTGCTTCAACCAGCCACACGCTTTCCTGAGAAGCTGTTGAGTAATATGTTTGTGGTTGCCTCAAAGCATAACTGCAAAATACTGTGAGTTGATATAAAGCTGTTTTCTGCCTGCATAGCAAAGTGTAAAGCAGAAATGCTAGATTGTGTGTCTTCTGCAGCCCAGAACTATTTCAGTTCATGCTTTCACCTCTTTGCATTGGCTTAAAAATTGGAAGCTTGTACTATAGCAATTATAAGACTGCCTTGTTAATGCTTACTAGAAATGATATTTAAAAATTAAGAGATTACAGGATATATGGAATTATGTGATACTGACTGATACAGTGACTAAAGGTTATATTATTGTGATTAAGGTATTACAAACCAAAAACCTCTTTTTTGAAGGATACTACGAAGATGCAGAAATGGAAATTTATGAAGCCACCGTAGGAACAAGAGAAGATAAAAAAATCCTTCCCTTCTAGTGCAGGAAGATGATCTTTGTAGAGAGAGGTAGTTATTTCAACACTGGTTCTCCCAGCATTTCCATGCTTGATGGGAGATGGGCATAAACAATCCAAAACCCAAAGTGACTTAGGCACAATCACAAACACAGCCCAAAGAGACATGAGTCTGCTTGCCAACTTGAGTATAAACAATCTTAACTTTACAGTGAAAGTTTCTAGAAGAGCAATTCCAGTTTGTAGCAATCAGGTGTCCACAACGCTAGCAGTGTGCAGAGTTTTCTTGGCGTTACCATCTCCCACAAGATGTCTGTACAGTGGTTCCTAGAGGTGTGCTGTCCTGTGTTACCTTGTGTTTTACAGACAAAGCAGTGAATGTGCAGAGACGATTCTGTAGTGCAGCCTCCATTCGTTGAACCATGCCCCAAGGGTCTCTGCCAGGCTCCATCCCTTATAACTGATACATTTGATCCTGCCTATAAAAATGTGCAGAGGAAACCCAGTGGGAGAACAAACAACTAAGCAAATTTCCTCTTTTGAGGCAGGGCTGGCAGGAGGCTTGGTTTTCCTCGTTAACTTTCTGGGGGTGCGGGAGGCAGGACTGCTTCAGCAGGGGAATATCAGAGCTGGCTTGTCTCATGATGTTTACACGTCCTTTCAGATGTCACTGTAAGTGCTCCTGCTCTTAGCTGGGAGAAGTGGAGGCCTGTCAGGGAAGGAAAATGGCTTCTGATGTTCCTGGATAACTGTTTTATTAGCTGCTACCTTCACAGTGTACACTTGGATGACTTAGCTGAAGAAAATTAGTACACCTGAGACTTTCAGTCAGTCTTGTATTCGTTTAGAATGAAAAGTAGTTTGATCAGTTTGTGTAAAAACATATCCATCTTTTTTTTCCTCTCAAAAGATCAGTGCTCTCTCTCAGGCAAGAAATGAAAGCTGCTCCTGCTCCTTTAGTGATTGCTTCTGATTTGCACTGCTTCAGAGCAAAGTGCAGCTGTGTCATTGTACCTTCTGCCTGACAGATCATCCTGAGATGAGAAAATGAGAGAAGTGCTCCATTTCTTTAACTCTAAAATGGGCATTATGAGAGGACCAGTTGTATTGACCTCCTTCCAAATGGTGCATGCATCCAATATAGCTGCATGGACTGGGACTTACAACCAATTAGTCAGTTATAAAGCTCCCCCAGTGAAACACAAAGGGGCAGCATGACCTACCAGACCCATACGGGGTTGGAAGTCAGGTGCTGACAAATTCCAACCTCACTACTGCCACTCACTCACTGAATGGCCTTGGCATGTCACTTTCTTTATGCTCCACAGCTGTAATCCATCTGAGAGCAGTCCTTGCCTGTCTCACCAGTATCTGGGGGAGCAGCGAGCGCTACACAAGTGCTAAGTATTGTTATTAAAACTATAATATGTCAGGTAATGCAGATACATAGATCATCTGCCCTCTTCAGGCACTCGACTGTTAGCCTTGTGTCTTGGCACATGGGAAGTGTGCCAGACATCAGGTGTAATGACGCACTTCAGTCCTGGAATTACTTGTGTTTTCAAGGTCAGATCGGTGACTTCAATATCTGTTTCACACTGCAGTACCATGTTTGGTCAAACTGATAAATAAGGGTGTAACTTGTTTGTAATTCCTTCTCTGTCTTCCTATTTTGTTTCTTAGGAAGCTGATGCTGCTATGAACATATTGAATAATACCAAATTTGCAATATTCTGCTTTCCAGATATAAATGTTTATATTTAAAAGTGCTAAGACTACACTGCAATAAATAATATCCATTTAACAGTTGGCTTCAAAGCTTCCTTTTTGTGCTCTGTCTAATATGCTCATGACAGTGGTTAGGACAGGCACGTGGATGTGGGGGCCACAAGTTCCAACTGTTAGTGCTTCTATCCAGTGTGTGATCTGAGGTGAAGCAGTTGTCTGTGTGTTCAAAAGTGTATTTAGCCACAAATTAACACCACCATACCTGTCTTTTAGAGATGCAGAAAGGAAGTGAACTTCACGCTGAAGAATGTAAGTACCATCCTGATCACTCAAAGGGCTGCTACATACAATGTGTCTTCCACCTGCCATGAGGAGAGGGTTTTCCAGGAAATGGAGAGACCCAGAGCTGCCATACAGTGTGAGCAGAGGCAGCTTCTGACTGCCAGGAAGCCCACAGTAAACGGTGCTGGTGCGTTTGGATCACAGGTGCTAAATATATGGGTGCAGGTTGCTAGAGGTGATAACAAATCTGTTGTGGAATTCAGGTGTTTTCTAAAGGAATCAACCTGCCAACTGCTTAAAGAATACAAAATCTGCAGTTTAAAGCTACGAGCAGCAGTAGGAGGATGAATGTAATGAGAAGGATCAGGCAGCAGCAAATTCGCAGAGGTCTGTACCCATTTACTTTCATTTGCATTTTAAAGTGGAGTTTTACACCAGGAGCATGCCCTTTCTGCCATGTGTCTGATATCTCCCTGATGTCATTGCAGTCAGTGGCAGTAGATTCTTGCTTGCTCTTTTAGGTTACAGCTCTGTCTGTTTAACTGACAAATGCAAAGGACACGAGTTGTTTGATGTTCCTGCAGGTTGTGAAGCACGTGCTCTAATGCCTCCCTAACCGGAGTCACATCAGTTGGTTTAAGTGCAGCAGTTGTACTCCTGAGCTTTCCATGAAACAAGTTTGGCACTGCCACGGAGCTTTTTGCATTGTTCTACTGCTCTTAGCTATTAAAACCTAAACTGTAGCTTTTCCAGTGCAAAGAGGCCTGCTAAAGCATGGTTGGAAATTTCAGTCTCGAATGCTGACTCAGACATGTGGGTTGGGGGTGTACTTGCTTGCAGGTGACGTGCATCTGAGAATACCTGTGCAGACATTTGTCTCATATCCATTGAGACCATTGCTCAGATTAAGGGAAATGATGGCTGGAACAATAAGGCATGGTTAGAAATTCCAATTCTGAGCTTAGCTGCTGTCCAGGTATTCTATATAGCTCATTTATCTCCAGTTTTCACGTCAGTTTGTCTCTGTTTTTGAGACCTGTGAACAGGTGGGGCTTCTCTGGCGATACTGAAGCTGTTAGAGGTTGGGACCACATCTCAGCTGCTCATCCCCGCATCCATCCCCGGCGCTCCCCGCCCGCTGCAGCCGCGAGGTGGCAGCAGGGGAAGGGGAATCCCGCAGCCGCCGAGATCCCGAGGGGTTGGGAGGATGGGAGGGGGAGGAGATCCCACTGCGAGCTGAGATTTAGGTTGGATTTACTTTAAGGGTGGTGAGGCAGTGGCACAGGTTGCCCAGAGAGGCGGTGGTGCCCCATTCCTGCAGACGCCCACGGTGAGGCTCTGAGGAGCTCTGAGAACTGATGGAGCCGTGGGTGTCCCTATTCATTGCTGAGGAGTTGGAACACATCTCCTTTAAGGTCCATTCCAACTAAAACGATTCTGTGCTGATTTACAGGCTGGAATTCTATATTGCAGAATACAGTGGTTGGAAGGGGTCTCTGAGGCTCCTCCAATCCAGCCCCCCCAGTAAGAGCAGGATCCTGCAGTGTGGTACTCAGGTAAGCATCCTCCTAAGTTTTGAATATCTCTGGATAAGGAGAGCCCACCACATCTCTGTGCAGTTCACGTGGAAGTGAGGTGGTGTGGAAGATACTGAAATAATATTCTTTGAGCCCATGGGCGCTGTCATGGTGTGGTCACACACAGCTGCAGCAGAGGTTTGAAGGGAATCAGCCCCCCTTCTGTTCTGCCCTGCTGGGGACCAGCTCAAGCACAAGGGGTTTGTCACATCAGTGTGGTCAATGGAACAAGTGTGCAGCACAGTGATCAGGAAAAGGAGGTGGGGGTTTGAATGGAAAATCTGATGCTATTGGACTGAGGTAGCAGCAGGAAGGATGGCAAACAGGACATTGCACCACAGCGGGCAGAAAGAGCAGAGTAGAGAGCTGTGGCTGCATTTGAGTGAACCAGAGTGAGACAGAAAGGAGGAAGCGACTGATTTTATACATCTCTGCTGGAAGAAGGGCTCTGTGGTGGTTCTTCTTGGGGAAGTATGGGTAAATGTTGGGCAGCATCACCAAGTTCTCAAAAAGGTGGAAGAAACAACTGAAAGAACGCTTGATTTTAGTTGCTTAGAGGCTCCAAAATGAGAACAGTGGAAAGCGGAGGAAAGGTGGGGGCTCTCAGCAAGACCTCTCTGCACCATACACCTTGCTGGAGTTTACCCCAGCTCAAACCTTGGGGTAAATGAGCTCAAACAATGCTGGAGGGATACACTTCATACCTCTGCTATTAGCTGCTGTAATGCCTGTACTGTTGGTTTAGAAGCTGTGGTTGGGGTGGGGTGCTACCAGGTTGCAGGACTGAAGTGAACTGGGTGGAACCAAGGTGGCAGAGCTAGGACTTAAACAGCTCTAAATTCAGCCAAATTGTGCAAATGGGCACAAACCTGTCTTCGCCAGCACCCCTTTGCCCCCCAGCTTGGTGTTTATGATGCAGTAATGTCTGCATGTTTGCTAAACCACCTCCATCAGGCAATGACAGCTTTATACCTGCAAGATAGCAGGTAGTAATTAGTTTACTTTAGTAACAGCTGCGTTCATGTCATTCCTCCTCCAGGATGCTTTGAAGCCACCCACTCCTCAGCTTGCTGTTTTAATTAAAAACATAGACCCTTGAAAAAGCAGGTTGTACCGTCTCCAACCTCTTGAGACACAGCAAACATCAGTGTTAGCGTGAAGCACTTGCTGAGAGCCATCCTTGGCTTCGTGTCTATTTTGCAGTGTAAACTAATGAACAAAGAGCTGCTATTTGTCACAATACCCAGTGTAAGGGCTTTCAGGGAATGCTGCAGGCTGACAGGGAGATACTGCAAGAGGCTGTGGACCCTGACCTCAAGTAAAAGCTTCAAAGGAGCTCCTGAAAAGTTTTGCAGCACCAAGCTCTTGGTAATGGAGCAGTCAGTGCACTTCAGTAGCTAAAACTACATCAAGGCTTTTGCTGACTTGGTGGAAATGACATTGTTTTGCAAGGAAACACTATTCTGTGAGGTCTGCTTTTCACCAGAGGAAAAGGAGCTGTGCCTTACGTGATGATATCAGCTCACACCAGCAGTGTGCCTGCAGGGAGTGTGCATGGGAAGGAACAGGGGAGCAGAGCAGGAGCTACAAAGCATCGTCCTTATCTTGCTGTGAGGGGCTGAGACAAAGCCTCAGCTCCCAGAGAAGATGGCACAGCCTGTATCAAAGGAAAAGGTGGGAAATCAGAGACTGATTCACCAAGCATCTTTTTGTTCAGATGCCTGTTTCCCCCTCATCCTCCCATGCTCAGTAGGCTAGGCACACAGCTCCCCATCAGTGATGTTTCTCCAAACCCTGTGTTGTTTGCAGATACCTGAGGTTTCCCCTGAGGCTGCAAGCCCCAGCACAGAGCATGGAAGGTGGCAAGCCAGTGCTTTGGCTCTTCCTGCTGCCTAAAGACAGCATCCATGGGCCAGAGCTCTTTGCTTGCTCCCCTTAGCGCCTGGACTGCAGGTGATGAAAAAGGGTAACATCACTGTGACATTTCCACGTATTGAGACAGGAATACAGAACTTCCATCACCAGATCAAGAAATTCACGCACATTGAATGGGGCTGGAAAAAAAAATCACCCAGGATGGTGTAGGCTCAGACAGACAGATGCTCCTTCCTCACTTCTTAACACCTCTGTGGGACTTGGGGGGGATGCGGTCTTCTGCCCAGAAGGGTGAGACAACAGGTGAACAGAGGCTGCTGTGAAGAGACCTGTAAAGGAACCCAATTTCTGTCCTTTAGGAACTTAACCCTTAGCATTCCCTCATCCTGGGTTTGTTTGCAAGTCAGAAATGGGGAAAGATTTTGGTAATTTCAGTATTACCAACAGTTTGTTAAAAGACTAATTGCCAAGTAGCTTATGCATGTGGGACCATTAGTAATTCTGTTGCTATGCAAATTAAAACAGTGATGTATGATTTATAGCTTTAATAATGTTCTGAAGGCTCTTAAATTTTAATCACTTGCAACATCCTTTTTAATATTCAATTACTTTATTAACTAATTAGGTCACTTGCTGAAAAAGCACATAAGGCTAGTGCTATTTTAATATCAGCTGAATATCACAAAATACCTTTGAAATGGTGTAAATGGTTTATTTATTTTAAATAGATCATTAAGATGCTACAATTAATAAATCAATTACAGAAGAGAAGAAAAAAAAAAAGAAATTGATAGATGGCAACCCACAACAGCAGCTTACTTTCAAAATGTTCACGGGGATGCTGAACTCAGGGAATGTACCTTCCTAGATAATTTGTATTCAGCTGAAGGGATAAGGTTCAAGATATGCTAGGTTCATTATGGATGCTTTTTTTGTATGAATTTAGCTTTCTGATTGATAAAAGCTTCCAAATGACCTTGAAAAGTAAAAGTATTTAAAAGGACAGCCCTCCATTATGGTTTGCTCTTTTGTCCATCTCAGAAAGATAAAACCATAACATCTTATTGCTGCTAATTCTGGGGTGAAAGGCAGAGCTCCTGGGGGAGGGAAGGTGTACTGCTAATCAGTGACCCACCTCCTGTACTCCAAATGGACGAGGGGCCCAATCCTCAGGAGAACCAGAGCTTTGCTGGTTGGATTCGCCTCTCTGCTAGAGCAGGACAAGGAGTCATTTTGACAAGATGTTAGGGAAAGAGAAGTCTTTTATCTGTAGGAAATAAGAAAAAAACAAGAAAACCAAACCCTGGACTAGACTAGCCTGCCTAGAGATGCTATCAATCTAGCACGAGTTCTCAGTGACCTCCAAAGAAGCATTCATCAGCTGCTAAATTCCCTGCCCACCTGTGGCAGGATGGGTGGTACAGGTGAGGAGTACGGGGAGGTGGAAGATGGGACATGGATGCTTGAAGAATAATTACCTCTATAACCTGCAACACAACCTGAGCAAAATCAGCCCAAACTTCTTGGCTTTTCCACTTCTACAGGCAGTGGAATTGCAGCTTCACATTTTTCTAAGCAAGGAAACTATCTCAGTTCCCAAAACAAAAGATGCACACACCTCCATCCCTGGGCATCTGCAAAAAGGTTATTTAACAGTTGGCTTTAAGTTTTACCACCACTGTGACTTAAAAGGAAATTGTAACTTTTCTAAGAACAGTTCTACCTCCTTAACAGTTTCCCACCAAAAATAATTACTGATGCTTCAAGTGGCTGCTGTTCTGCATGATCATCCGTTGGTAACAGAACGTATCTGACCAGTCTGGGCTGGATTTGACACCTATGCATGAAAGATTTGGATGCTTGAAATAATGCTAAATCCACATTTTCAAAGGAGGAAATGTCACAGGAAATGACTAATACAAAAATAAGAAATGATGCTACAGGTTGAGATAACACACAATGCTATATATCTTGGAATAAGCACAGATAAAACCCTTAAGAGCTCAGACATTCATGCAGTCAAAGAGGGTCACTGTCATGGTTTTTAAGAGCGACTATTTCACCTACCACAATCCTGTTGTACAACACACCTTTCAATCTGTCCTCAGTCCCCTTACAAAGCCCCAGTTCACAAATAGGTGCATTTTTTTTTTTTTAATCACATCCCTGTGCCTTCTCCCCCGTCATTTCTTCACATGTATGAATTTCCTCGCATACCAAATCATTTGGGTAGGGAAAAAAAACACACCCACATCCTCCTCTGTGAAACCAAACGCTAGCTGGACTTGCATATCAAAGGTCAACACTGCCTCAAACTCAACTAGTACCAGGAGAAAGAAGGATGCAGAAGGCAGCAGAAAGCAGCCACAAAGGTTCCAGCCCTCCCCCCCTCGCAGCAGGATGCAGTGACAGAGCCAGCCATACCAAACAGCCACTGTTAACCTCCCCAGCTCGATTCAGCGTGACAGTGACACTTCACAGCACATTGCATCCAATCTCATTTGAAGCTGACAAAGATTGTTTCTGTTTTATATCTATTGGTTTATTAATGGACTACAGCCTCTTAAGCAGATGCATATTCATTAGATAGCCAGCTGTTAGGAGGTTCCCAGATGTCGAAAGTAGCTCTGTCTTGGAATGCATTCTTTTCCTTCCCATGAAACAAAGTAATTGTAGCTCTATTAAAGAACCAGTTAATTACTGAACTAGTACCGTATGGCACATGATTTAAAAAGAAGAAAAATCTGTAAATTTGTGAACAGTGAAGACAGTTTTGAAACTCAGGGCTGAGCTGCACCATATACATGGAGCACTGAAGACACAGAGTTGGGTTATGCCATGTAAAGAAATCCCAGCTGCAGACATACAGGGATACACTGAGTTTTGCTCCCTGCTTCATTTGCCACACTCAGCAGATTTCCTTTTACTGCTTATCCTTACGTATCCGACTGGTGAACTTAGAATCACACCAAAAAAGAAAATAGACAATTCAATTTTTAATGGCTGTTGTACCTGACGAGGACCAAACTTCTGTAGCATCCCAGCTAGGTAAAGTTGTAACCAGACCAAGCCACGAAGACTGAATTTCAAATTCCACAGGCTCCCGTTTTGTATCACAATATTTGCAGGGCTCACCACATTGTCTTTACAACTTGTTTTTGCCTTTCTTTCCCTGGAGCTCTACAAGCAGCTCCCATAAGGCACATCTTGGAAGTGCAGCTACAACAAGAGCCATCCTCTCTCTCACCAGCCCAGGAACTCTCCCACAGAGCCATCTAAAACATTAGGGTTAGCTCCAAATCTGAGTACTTTGGAAAACATTCACTGTGATTGTGTGCTTCTGGCTGATGTGAATGAGCTGCAGAGCCACACGTTCTATCACCACACAGCCCCAGCATCCTCAGGAGGAGCTTCAATTACCAGTCCAGGAAGAAGAGAACAACTCCTGCTCTCCTGCTGCAGGCAGAGCTCCTGGGTGGAATAATTGGAGGCAGGTATTCAGTATCTGGTTTCCAATTCTCTAATTCTTTTTACCAGTCAAATCTGTCAGCTAGTGTCCAGAACAGTACATTAAGTGATTTTTCAGCGTGCTGACATTTCTGACTGAAAGTTTCCTTAGCAGTCAAATATTTTGCTTAAAACAAAGATTTTCAGTGTGCAGTCAAACCCTGTGGGTTTGCCTGAAACAGTTGTGACTTTGAGTGGTGGCTTTGAATACCTGGAGGGTGGGAGAGAAAAATTGCATCTCCATGAAAAGCTTTAATCGGAACCAAGCAAAGATGCTATAAAATGTCATATACTATAAAAGTGTTTACAGCCACGCACAGAGGAACACAGAGGCAATTTTGTAGAGTGACTCCTGGAGCAAAGGCCTCAGAGAATAAAAGTGTCTTTAGATATTTGTTATCCTGTTAGAGTTGGCATCACCTTGAGTATACAATGCCTGCCTGCATTATGTAAACACTTCATTGATAAATCCCTCCCCCACCTCCCTTAAGCAGTGTCAGACTGTTCTTAGCTGACAGATATAGCTGAAACAGATGCTGCTATAAATACCCTTGTTTAGCTGTTTTGAATATAATTCCTTTTGTAGAACATAGTGGATGCTCTAGTTATCCCTGAACCTGCACCTGCGCTGCAATTACTCCTTTGCACAAATCAAGGTTTATTTTTTTAAGAAAGGATTCAAAAAACATACACAGGGAATGCCTCCACATTTTCTGAAGTACAGACAACTTTTAGAAAGGATTTCACCAATTTTCCTAAGTTTACCACCTCTGCACTCTGTAGTAAGTTCATCTCTTACTACAGAATATAGTCTATCCCCTCCGTTTACTCCCTGTAGGCTCTAAACTC